CACCGTGCGGGAGCTGGCTCCGGGGCGCAAGTACAAGCTGAACCTGTACGGGCTGGGCCCGGCCGGGCGCGTGGGCCCGGTGTCCGCCGTGGCCGCGACCGGTGAGTGGGGTAAAGGCCCTCTTGGGTGGGTTTCTGGGAAGTGCAGCCTCCCGTGTCCTTTCTGCTGGTGGCCAGGGCTGCAGAGCCGCAGTCTCCTCCCACCTTGAGGGACCGGTAACAAGGGCAGGTGAGGGCCAGGCCCTTCAGGCGGGGGCCGGGAGCGCTAACGCACTTACTTGATGGCTGGGTTTTGACTCTGCCTTTCCAAGAAACTAGAGAGAAATCTTTTATGGAATTGAGGCAGATTCCGTAAAATAGTAAGTGATTCCTTCAACACAAATTTGTTGAATAAAATCCAAATGTATACGCGGAGAGAAGAACCTTCCGCCGAGTGTCATGTTCTGTCCGCCAGGCTCACCTGGGTCCTCCCCTTCCACTGTCCCCCACCGAGGCGTTCATCGCTAGCAGCCTTATTGCCGCGTAATCCATGTGCCGGAAAATTGACCTCAGTGCAGAACTTCCCCATTCTAGTGTGTTTATGTAGTGAGCAACATCGACACAGTTTAACTTAAAAACTTTTCTATCACTACAAAAAGAAGCCAGGATTCTAGATCCCTTTCTATCCTCAACCCTGTTCCCCCACTTATCTACTTTCTGCTTGGTAGGTTTGCCTTTTTTGGCTATTTCATATAAATAGAATTACGCAGTTAGTCTTCTTTTGTGTCTGGCTTCTCTCACTGAGTCCAGTGACTTTGAGGTTTATCCATGTTGGAGCGTGGAGCAGTATTTCACTGTTTTTTTATTGCCAGATAGTATATGCTTTTTTTTTTTTTTTTTTTTTTTTTTTTAGACAGGGTCTCGCTATGCGGTTTAGGCTGGTCTTGAGCTCACTTTGTAGCCCAGGCTGCAGTATATGCTTTTATCACTGCAAGGGTGCAAGCCTGTCATCCCAGCACTCAGGCTGAGGCAGGAGGATCCCCGAGAGTTTGAGGCCAGCCTGGGCCACATAGTGAGTTCAAGACCAGCCTGCACAACAAAGTGTGACCTTGTGTCAAAAAAACCAAAAACAAATAAATAACCACTTTGGAGAAACCAAAATATAGTACAACAACCATTGATAATTTCCTGCCATTGTTGTCTGTAACTCACTATTATTTGTCTATTTGTTTTCCTGAGAAACTATCTTGAAGATGCCAATAGGTAAAATAACAACCATTGATAATGTCCTACCACTTTGTCTGTAATTCGGGGAATCTCCCTATTGCTATGTTGCCCTTCTTTTGCTCTTTAAAATAAATTTTTAAAAAATAAGCTTAATCCCAGACATACTATACATTTATCAGTGTTTAAATATATTTCTTTTTTTAAAAAACTATTTTTTGTTGTTGATCTTTGAGACAAGGTCTCATTATGTAGTTCAGGCTGGCCTTGAACTTGCAGCAATCCTCTTGCCTCAGCCTCCCAAATTCTAGGATTATAGCATGCGCCACCATGGCTGACTTGTTTTGCTTTGCTTTTTGTTTTTTGAGAGAGGGTCTTGTTATATAGTTCAGGCAGGCCTTGAACTCCCTGTGTAGCCCACACTGTCCTCAAACTCACAGTGATCCTCCTGCCTCAGCCTCCCAAGTGCTGCGATTACAGGCATCCAGCACCATGCCTGGCAAAAAAGGCTGTTTTTATGGGCGGAGGGCGTAGAACAGTAGTAGAGCGCTTGACAAGCATGTGCAAAGCCTGGGTTTCAATCCCTCGCATCACTAAATAAACAAATGTTATTTTTAAAATAGCCACCATGCAGCTACCATACTTAGAAATGAACACTCCTTCCTTGCTGTCATCAAGGGTGCAGAGAGCGTTGCCGTCTCCTGCTTGTCTCACAGTTGTTTTGCTGGAGCTAGCTCTGAGTAATTTGCAAGCTATTTTGCAATTGAGGAAGTTGGGATTTTGAATAAAGCTTTCAGGAAAGCCCCCCAAAAGATGGTGATATTTGAGCGGAGACTTGCAGGAATCCTGGGCGTGGGCCGTGCAGGGCCGTAGGGGAAGGGCGCGAGGTCACGGGAAGGTCCTGCACAGGCCCTGGGGCGGGAGGCTGTGGCATGTCAAGGCCAGCACGAAGGCCACAGAAAGCCCTGATGATCCGGTGACACCTAGGTCCTCGGTTAGGCTCAGGGCCAGCCCGCCTGTGACTGGCATCCGAGCTAACTGCGGTCTGTGTTGCTCTCTCCCCAGCCCCTGAACAAGCCCCTCCTGATGCCCCTCTTCTGAAGCCGCGCCTGGGGGAGCTGACGGTGACAGGCGCCAGCCCGGACTCCCTCAGCCTCTCCTGGACGGTCCCCGAGGGACACTTTGATCACTTCCTGGTCCAGTACAGGAACGGGGACGGCCAGCCCAAGGCGCTGCGGGTCCCGGGCCACGAGGACGAGGTGACCGTCTCGGGGCTGGAGCCCGACCACAAGTACAAGATGCACCTGTACGGCTTCCACGGCGGCCGGCGCGAGGGACCCGTGTCTGTCACCGGGGTCACAGGTGAGTGAGCAGGAGGAGCCTGGGCCCCGCGCCAAACTGGGCTCATTTTCCCTTTGGCTGTGAGTATCCAGGCGTCTCTTCCCAGACCCTCTGGGCTCATGGGGACCGCTCTGCCCGTGTCTCTGCCCGGGCCTCTGTGTCACCACCCAGTCTCCTGTGTGTCCCTGGCGGGTGCGTCTGGCCTTCAGGCAGGGAGCCCGGAAGTGGCAGACTCTGGTGCCGGCCTCGAACCTCAGCCTGAACGACCCACACTCAGCCTCCCTGAGAAGACGGGGTAACACGCCTGCCTCAGAGGGCGGCTGCGTGGGTAGAGCTCACAGCCAAGGAGCGAAAACTACAGCTCTCCGCCTCCGAGGCCACGGCATCCTAAAAACCCTTTAGGGAAAATTCTTCCAATGACCTGGGCTCCCCAGGCTCCCCGACGGAGGCCTGTGTGTGCTCCACCAACACCGGATCCTGGCACCAGGGACCCCAGTGCTCCGGAGTTCACAGGACCCCCGCCCCGGGCGGCACCTGTGTCCCAGCTGTGGACACTCAGGCTGTGTTGCTGCTACCCCCATCCCCACAGAACAGACCAGGAAGCGCCATGGTTTGTGACTCAACCGGAAGGCAAAGTAAAACCCTGGAAAGAAAGAAAACACCAAGGAAATCAGTGGAAACGAAGCACCCGGTTTCCCGGGGCAGAAGGACCTGGGTGCGGTGGGGCAGATCTCTGCTCTAAGTTAGTGCCGTGTGTGAGGTCTGGGAACTACCAACCAGAGAGATGACCTCGGTCCACTCAGCTCCTTACCCTCCGCAGTGATATCAAAATTGGGCTCTAAAAATGTTCACAACGGGGCCAGAGATTTAGCTGAGTGGCACAGAGCCTGCCTGCCAATCATCAGGTCCTGACTTCAATTCCCAGTACCAAAAAACAAAACAAGTTCAGAAAATGTGACGTGGTCTTGCACACCTGTCATCCCAGCACTCAGGAGGCTGAGGCAGGAGGATGCGCTCAAGTTCTAGGCTAGCCTGGGTTACGTAGCAAGACCCTGCCTCAGAACAAAACAAAACAAAAAATGCTCAGAAAAGCATTCTGAACCAGGAGGATTTTTTGTTTTGTGTTTTGAGATAGCATCTCACTATGCAGACCAGGCTGGCCTTGAACTCACTGTGTAGCCCAGGCTGGCCCTCAAACTCCCAGGGGTCCTCCAGTCTCAGCCTCCCAAGTGCTAGGATAGCAGGCATGCGCCACCACACCCAGCCTGAACCGTGTGATGTTAAAGGAAAACACTGTAAGCTAGGATCCCTGAGCCCGTGTGTGTGCGTTTGGTAACGCCCCTCCCTGGTTTGCTGTTGCTAGTGTTTCCGTCACCCTAAACAGATGCATTTAGCAACTCGCAAGGGGTACGGGCAGTTCCCATGGAGAAATCCCAGGGCCCCACCGGCCGTCCTGGCCTCAGCCCCAGTGGGCGCGCTTCCCCGGGAGTGGGGCACTCAGGCCAGGGCCCAGTGACTTGAGGTGTTGAAGAGAAATCCCAGACACCTCTGTTCAGAGGGACCTGACCAGACACAGCGC